TAAAAAACATAAATAAATAAATAAAATTTGTGAGTTCAATACCTAGAAGATAGGTGAGAATATTTTGATTTCACTGAACTGAAGAATTTAAAAAATCTCAATCCTCAGTCAAAACATAAAAAAGGTAGGCGTCATTTTCCTCTTCTCTAAACAAAAACATCAAAAATAAATAAAAATTCATACTCAGAGAACATGTAAGAATATAAATTTTGAATTCCAGAATTTAAAATTTTAGTAAATTCGAAAAATTATTGTCATCTGTCATCTCTTTTTTTCATGAGAAATACAAAGAGAACGAGTAGTTATTTTTTAAGTTATAAGCTTTTGATATTAAATGGGGGAATAGAATAACTCCAAATCCCAAATTCATCAAAATCTAAAATGGATTCAGCTAATGAAAGATACATAATTGTAAGCTTCATATAACAATAGTTATTTGAAGATCTAGATCAAAGTTCCAACCATGGATGTGAACACGTCTTCACATCCATTCACATTTCACTTCCCAAATACTTCTACTTCTTGACATCTCCACACAAAATGCACAACAAACTTTTATTTAGCATAGGATAGCACACTAGACACCTCCATCCACATACATATATATATATATATATAGGTATATAGCTATGCTTTCTCATGTTTTGCGGCAGATGCCTCCCTCACAAGTCCATCCCTCCTTCACCTTTCCCAGTGCTCCTCCACAATTCTCTTTTGGGTCATCTTTCTTGAGTGCACACTTGGGGTGAAGATCGAAGTCACACACCTTGCAATAAAATGACCAGCCATGCCCCATCTCCCTACACCCATTGCAAACATAACTATTAGAATAATGTATAGAGAGGTAGAATAGATTGTATTTATTCATATGGTTAGGGGCTCCTTATATAGGAGACGATTTACAAATTGTAATGATGAAAATCTAAAGCACTAATTATGGGTGTTTTGAAAAAATAGTTAAAAATTGATTTTTTTTAATTTTTTGATTATTTATGTAGTGAGAAAATGGTTAAAAATTAATTTTTTGATTTTTAAATTTTTTTTTTGACTATTTTATGTAAAAAGTGATGCAATTCAAAATAAATTAAAAAATGAAAAATGTTTGAGGGTCACAATTTTTGTGATTACAATGACTCAAAACTGCTAAAACGACGTCGTTTTGGCATGTTTTGCACTCAAAACGACGTCGTTTTGACAATCTTAAGTCATTGTGACCACAAAAATTATGACCCTCTAACATTATTGTTAAAAAATTGATTTGTAACTTTTTTTTTATATATATATATATAAGTAGGTTGCCAAAACAGTCCTATGTTTTGCATGTGTTTGCTTTGCCACCGTCGATTTGATAGGAATGACTGGTAGTGTAGAATTTTGAGCGTGCCCAAGTTGTAGTGTAGTGTGAAGTGGGTTATGGGTTGACTGTGGACTGAGCCGTAAGATGAGCCGAAGGTCCTGGGACCACGTGAAGATCGGACATCAATTGCTGGTAGAATTAGAAAATCGAAAATGCGGCAGACCCCTAGTAATTGCCGACCCCCAGTGACCCTCCAGTCCACGTGGCTGTGGGTGATTGGAAGAAAAGAAAAAAAAAAAAAATATTGACGAATGACGCTGCGCCACGTCACTAGGGGTTGACCCCAGTGGGGGTAGGAATCACGGTTGTTAGAAAATTAAGGACAAATTACAAACACCTTTCAAGGTTTGGTAAAAATATAAATTTCCTCATGAGGTTTGAGAAATTATAAATTATCTCTTGTTGATCAAATTTTCATAACAAATTAAAAAAAAATTAGAGAGAATTTGTATGAAAATAAAAACCTCAAGAGACAATTTGTTATGAAAATATAAACTTCAGGAGACGGAATGTAATTTCTCAAACTTCAGGAAAAAAATTATATTTTCACTAAATCTCGAGGGTGTTTGTAATTTGCCTAAAATTAAAAAGTAATCCACTAATTCTTCTTTGAAGTTAGGTAACCATATATTTTACCTTCTTTTTTGTTTCTTTTTTTTTTATCACTGAATATTTGAATTAATTTATATTTTTTTTAAACGAATCTAGAAAAATCAATTCCACTCCATATTACCTTTTAGTTTGTCAATAGGTTGGATTTGATTGAATTGAATCTGCACCTCCCCACCCCCACCACTCACGCTATTAACATCATCATTTTTTAAAAAATTATAATTGAAAATTGAAGAAAAATAATTGTAAAATACATTTGGCTCGCAAAATTTTTCATTGAAATAAACGGGAACTTTAATAAACTCTTTCATGTCTTAGATTAGTACATTGATAACAAGCATCTAAAACTTGGTCCATAAATTTAAAATTATGAGAATGATTTTACTTTTTAAGATTCAAATATTTCTTCATAGTATCATTATTATATTTTTAATAATAAAATTAGATATTAATGATAAATTATTATTATTTCGTCTCCAAAAATAATACGTTTTTGGCAGGAAAATGTTATTTTTTTAATTTTGAAAATGATCTTTTACAAAAGACTCTCGTGATCTCTTATGCTGTGTTTGGTTTGGGGATTTGGAGAGGAATTTGGAAAGAAAAAGGGAAAAGGTGTGTGAAACTAGGTGAAATATAGACATATTTTATTCACATTTTACTTTTTTTTTTTATTTCTTTTTCCAAATTCCTCCCTAAATCTTCCAACCAAACACAGTATTAATATTTTTTGTAATAAAATTTTTACAAACAAAAGTTTAGTTCTTAAAACCTTTTATGGGTTCGCTTGACACAAAGGTTTGGATTGGATTTGGATTATTTTAACCAGAAAAAGATCAAATAGACTTTTTAACTTAATAAGATAAAATGTCACATTCAAATCATAATTATTTTATTTTTTTTCTCACAAAAGTCAAAAAAGTCAAAAAGTGTACTTTTTGACTTTTTATAATAAAAAAAATGTGTAAAAAAATAGAGAAAGTAGTTAGAAAAATAGAAAAGATATGTTAATAAATGTTGATTGATATGACTCAAATAAATATATGTATACAAAAAAAATAAACTTTTTGAGGTTAATTCAAATAAATCAAAAAAATCAAAAAACTAAAAAATTAACTCACATTGTAAACGAAAGTTGAATGTGATAATGGAGATTCACTATATGAGGGGGGAAAAAATTACATAACATAATAAGGTTTTTAAAAAATTAAAAATAAAATATCAATAATTTGCTGGTTGGGCCCCCGCTACGAAACCCAAGATTACCGATACTCCAATATAATTTTATCACGTATAAACTGTGAATAAATTAATGGAAAAAAATTAGTGGCAGTTGGTGGCGGTGGTCTAATCATTCATGCCAATGAATTCAATTCAAGTTGGTCGTTCTTGCCATCTTTTGTGTGACTAAATGCATGGCTATTTTGACAATTTTTAAAAAAAAAATTTAAAAAATGTGAAAAAAAATAAAAAATAATAATATAGACTGTTTTGGAAACTTAATTAAAAGCCATTTTTTTGTTTTTAATTTGTTTTGGATTACATTATCTCTTTATTTTTTTACATATTTTTTTAAAAAAATTAAAAAAATCAAAAAATTAAGTATCTACTTCCCAAAACAAACCTATAATTTAAATAAGTCAATAAAATGATTTTTTTTTCTTAGTTGCCAAAATAGGCCATAGTGATAGCTTTTATTGAATAAAATTAAAAATATTATCAGTTTTTTCTAGTTTTAAAACTGAGAACCTTATCAGTTTTTTCATTTTTAAAGTTTTTTTTTTTAAGAAAAAATTGCACATCAATGTTCTAGCATCATACTCTTTTATAAACACAAAATTTTCAATTTTGCACAAAAAAATAATTCAATTTTTTCAAAAACAAAAACATTTTTTTTGCACATAATTTTTTTTTTAATTTTTCAATTTGAAAGTTGATATTTTAAAATTTTGAAAATTAAAATAAATGTCAAATTATTATGTTCTTTTATGGATAATCATAAATAACGAACCATCATTGTTTGAAGAGTAATTCTGATTGTTAAAAATTTAATAGGACTTGATGGTCCAAAAAATGTTAGTTAATGAAGTATAAATTTATGAATTAAAACTTGTGTATAAATATTCCTAATTTTAATAATATTTAAAACAAAAGTAAATTGAATGCATTGCTTTCAAATAAAAAAAATATTTTAATATTCCTGACTCTATCGTGAAAGAAACGTGGGTCTTATCACTATCAAATGGACTGAAATTATTGATTAGAACACTTTAGTAGGTGTCTTTACGCTATTTATTTATGACTAGAAAACAAGATAGTATATAATTATTGGAAATTTATAAATTATGAAGTAAGGTGGATGGCCAAACTTTGACTTCATTATTTTGCTTTCACACGGTTTAATCATTAGACTTTTAGCATACTTTTGTGCTATGTTCATATCGAGTGATAAACAATAATCCTTGTATTATGAAATGCACATAAGAGTTGATCCCTTTGTCTCATGTTTATGTGAATTTTATTTGTGTTTTCTACACTGTTATTGCATTATTGAATTTAAAAAAATGTTAAAGAGATTCATAATTTAAATCTCACAATTTATTTACAATGACAAAATAAAAAAATTAAGTCTTACATAATTGAATTCGTAACACATTAAAAATTGATCCATAATTTTATCCATAATTTTAATTAAATTACGATCTCAATTTTTTTTTATTCGACCTTGCATGAAGATTTAATTGTCAATGGTCAACACCTGGATGAGCAATGGGAATGAGTAAAAGTAAGAGAGCAAACATAAGCCTCACAAGTGGACCAACTTCTGATGAGGATGATGTCATGATGACTAAATATTTCATATGTTTTTTCATGAAAGAAAAGGAAAGGGAGAAATGGTGAACAAGTTGGTTCCTTCTGGTTCTCAAAGATACTTATCCAATGATCCAAATGCCGACTACTCGCTTGCATCCCCATTTTGTTTTTTACACCACTCAACAAATTTATTCTTGTTCTTATTATTATTTGTCTATACTCACCAAAACTATCCCCATCTTCAACCTCTTCCTTTCTCTCGACACCCACCACACACCCCACCACTTGTCCACTGCCCACTACCGCCACCTACGGCCCCTCTCCTTCCTCTCTCACTCTCCTAGTCGTCCCCCACTCCTTACTCATCCGTGACACCACCCACCCCCTTCCCTTCCCGATGGCAGGAGAGAGCCAGGGAGTAGGTGGGGTGGAAAGGAGAGGGGAAGGGGACCGAGTGAGAGAGTCAGGGAAGGGAGGAGAAGGGTGGCTTGTAGTGAATTATTTTAATTTTTAATTTATTTGTTCCTCTGACTCTCAAGAATAAAAATAAATATAATCAAGATGTAAAACTTACTTCCAACAATAATGTGCCCAAACTTTTACACTCACGCATTCATAGGTAACGAATTTTCTATAACACATTTAACTTGTGATTATTTTGTGTTTTGGGTGGATAATATATTCATTTCATTATTAACTTAAATATTTTTGACATTTGTGATGTAATGATTTATGATTGACAAAAATAGCATTGTGTGTGTTGAATAATGTTTAAATTATAAATTGAATAATTTTTTCATGTTTAATTAATACTAGTATCTGTGTCCATATCTGTATCTGTTCATGGATCGCCTTCCAACATCAAACTGTTAACATATTATTTTTCTTGAAATTTGAAACAAGCAGGAGGCTTTGGGAGTTACCTTTTTGGCATGAGTGAAAAAATTGCCAAACAGTCAACTGAAGCTGATGATGCACGGAATATAAAGAACCCAGCTGTGGGTTGGATGATTGGATTTCTTTTTATTGTTAGCTTTCTTGGACTTTTTTCTGTAGTGCCTCTTAGAAAGGTACATGCATACATTCCCAAACTCATTATCTTGATGTGTATATGATTTTTTTTTTTTTTTGGCCTTTTAAACATGTTATATCAAAATATGGGTAAATTACACTAATTTTTCTCGAGGTTGTAAAAAATACATCAAGCTTCACAAAGTTGACATAACTACACTTTGTTTTCATAATGTTTATTTCATATAACACTATCCATCATTCCTTAAATCGTGTGGATGAAAATATTATTATCATCTCTTTTAAATTGATGTATTTTTACCCTTGATTTTTCCTCAATCTATTACTTGCATTAATTCTGTTTGCTTTAACCTTACTAAAAAGAAGTCAGTGTAATTAAGATTTATGAGACCTATTATATGGTTTTTTCAAACCTTGGAGGTAATTAACGTAATTTACCTTATCAATATTTTGGACTAGGTGGAAAACAGAGAGTTGTGTTTATAAACCATTGCTAGTAGGGTCAAGATCTTCTGTCCTTAAAATTTATGTTCCTTCATCTCTGATACATTTCCAAATTACTGGAATGTCAAGATACGATTACATGGCTGTGAGTGCATTAATTAGAGACGGAGACAGAAAGTTAGGGACAATCTCATGCTGGCTACTAGGGACCTCTCTTCTACCAAACAAGCATGGGCAATGGAAGCAAATCTCCATGTTTTCTTTGTCACCTTTCTTGTAAAACTCACAAATGCAATCTGTTTCAGATAATGATCTTAGACTTCAAACTGATTTATCCAAGTGGGACTGCAACTGCTCACCTTATCAACAGCTTCCACACTCCTCAAGGAGCGAAGCTAGCAAAGTAAGTCCATCAAATTTACTTCGTCATTCAGTCTTAAGAAATGAACAAAATTGATCAAAGCAAGTTGAATTTGATTCTCTCCTTGCATCTTCTCATCATCAATTTTCATTCTAGGAAACAAGTCAGAGCTCTGGGAAAGTTCTTCTCTTTCAGCTTCTTGTGGGGCTTCTTCCAATGGTTCTACACTGCAGGGCATAATTGTGGATTTTCAAGCTTCCCTACATTTGGTCTCAAAGCCTTTGAAAACAGGTACAGCTTTGATTGTAATGATACAATACAAAATTAATTTACTTCTTCATTCACATTCAAAGCATTGATCTTCTTTGTTTTTTTGTTTTTTTTTTTCGTAAACCTAGGTTTTACTTTGATTTCTCTGCAACTTATGTCGGCGTTGGGATGATCTGTCCACACCTAATCAACGTATCTTTGCTACTTGGAGCAATCCTTTCATGGGGTATAATGTGGCCACTTATATATAACCAAAGGGGCCATTGGTGGCAACCTGCAGACCTTAGCCAATCTAGCCTTCGTGGCCTGCAAGGTTATAGGGTAGGTCACTTCCCTTCCTTTTTCTAAATCCAGACCGAGTTAATTAAACCTGTGTTTTTAAATTAACCCTTTTAATTTTTATCCTTGATTTGCTACAGATCTTTATAGGAATAGCCATGATACTTGGTGACGGCCTCTACAACTTTATCAAAGTCCTTGGTATTACTCTATGGCTGTGAGTGCATTAATTAGAGACGGAGACAGAAAGTTTAGGGACAATCTCATGCTGGCTAGTAGGGACCTCTCTTCTACCAAACAAGCATGGGCAATGGAAGCAAATCTCCATGTTTTCTTTGTCACCTTTCTTGTAAAACTCACATATGCAATCTGTTTCAGATAATGATCTTAGACTTCAAACTGATTTATCCAAGTGGGACTGCAACTGCTCACCTTATCAACAGCTTCCACACTCCTCAAGGAGCCCAGCTAGCAAAGTAAGTCCTTCATCAAATTTGCTTCATCATTCAGCCGTAAGAAATGAACAAAATTGATCAAAGCAAGTTGAATTTGATTCTCTCGTTGCATCTTCTCATCATCAATTTTCATTCTAGGAAACAAGTCAGAGCTCTGGGAAAGTTCTTCTCTTTCAGCTTCTTGTGGGGCTTTTTCCAATGGTTCTACACTGCAGGGCATAATTGTGGATTTTCAAGCTTCCCTACATTTGGTCTCAAAGCCTTTGAAAACAGGTACAGCTTTGATTGTAATGATACAATACAAAATTAATTTACTTCTTCATTCACATTCAAAGCATTGATCTTCTTTGTTTTTTTGTTTTTTTTTTTCGTAAACCTAGGTTTTACTTTGATTTCTCTGCAACTTATGTCGGCGTTGGGATGATCTGTCCACACCTAATCAACGTATCTGTGCTACTTGGAGCAATCCTTTCATGGGGTATAATGTGGCCACTTATATATAACCAAAGGGGCCATTGGTGGCAACCTGCAGACCTTAGCCAATCTAGCCTTCGTGGCCTGCAAGGTTATAGGGTAGGTCACTTCCCTTCCTTTTTCTAAATCCAGACCGAGTTAATTAAACCTGTGTTTTTAAATTAACCCTTTTAATTTTTATCCTTGATTTGCTACAGATCTTTATAGGAATAGCAATGATACTTGGTGACGGCCTCTACAACTTTATCAAAGTCCTTGGTATTACTCTATTCGGTTTGTATCGCCAATTCTGTGTTAAAGACCAAGGCAGTGTCCTCCCAGTTGCTGGCGGTGTTACCCCCCCTAAAAAACCTACTGTGTCCTATGATGATCAGCGTCGAACCCAACTCTTTCTCAAAGACGAAATCCCAGAATGTTTTGCAGTTGTTGGGTATGTTGGCATTGCCATTATCTCCACTGCAGTGCTTCCACACATCTTCCACCAACTCAAATGGTACTACATCGTGGTTATTTATGTCTTTGCACCAGCACTAGCCTTTTGCAATGCTTATGGTTGTGGGCTCACTGACTGGTCCTTGGCATCCACATATGGAAAGCTAGCAATCTTCACAATTGGGGCATGGGCAGGAGCATCCCATGGTGGTGTCTTAGCCGGATTAGCAGCTTGTGGGGTTATGATGAACATCGTCTCAACCGCCTCTGACCTAATGCAGGACTTCAAAACAGGTTACATGACCCTAGCTTCACCACGGTCCATGTTCGTGAGCCAAGTCATTGGAACAGCAATGGGTTGTGTCATTTCGCCTTGTGTGTTTTGGCTCTTCTACAAGGCTTTCCATGATCTTGGAATCCCCGGAACACAATACCCCGCTCCTAATGCTCTTGTCTTTCGAAACATGGCAATCTTGGGGGTTGAAGGATTCTCAGCTTTGCCAAAGAACTGCCTCACCCTTTGCTATGTGTTCTTTATTATAGCTGTCGCTATCAACGCCATTAGAGACGCTGCAGGAAAGCAGAGAGCAAAGTTTATCCCTATCCCCATGGCAATGGCAATACCCTTCTATATTGGATCATACTTTGCTATCGATATGTGTGTTGGGAGCCTCATACTATTTGTTTGGCAGAAGATAAACAAGAAAAAGGCCGATGCATTTGGACCTGCCGTGGCTTCTGGTTTGATTTGCGGGGATGGGATATGGACTCTGCCCAGTTCAATATTGGCATTGGCAGGTGTAAATCCGCCCATCTGCATGAAGTTTCTGTCGAGGACAGCCAATGCAAAGGGTTGATAGTTTCTTAAACAACTAGTTCAGCAATTATATATAGCTTCCCGTTTCATGTTCTCAGCATCTTCTTTGTTTCCACTTCTTTCTCACCTTCTATCCTTTTTAAATCTAGCTGTGTGTCTGTTTACATGTATAATATGTATCTATCAATGATAGACAACTAGATTTCATTCCCACAAACCACTTGAAATGAGATCAACATGTGAAGGAGATCTAGAAGTCCTCGTAATGTAATGAAGTACTACATGAATCTGAATGTTAACATGTGAAGGAGATCTAGAAGTCCTCGTAATGTAATGAAGTACTACATGAATCTGAATGTCAGTTGTAAAATACTTTCTATAATATGATTGGTACAAGTTTCTATATTGGACAAGTTTTCCATTTATACTATGCTAGGACTATAATATGTTTGGTACAAGTTTCTATATCAGACAAGTTTTCCATTTATACTATGCTAGGATACTATATACATATATTGTATTGGTGGCACTACTTTTTCTCAATGACTGTACACTCAAAAGGTTGTGTTAGGCTTCAATCAGCTCTCGGATTGGTTTTTTGTTCATATTTTCAGAAGGGATATCAGTAAATTCCGAGAGGATTGCTCTAAATTCATTCCCGGTGAGGGTTTCCTTCTCTAATAGCACGTCCACTAGCTTATCCATTGCCTCTCTATTGTTCCTTACATGAGTCTTAGCAATTTCGTACGCACTATCAATAATATTGCGTACTGATGTGTCAATGTCTTCTGCAAGTTTTTCTGACATTGAGTTTCTTGCTAGCATCCTCAGTACCACATCACTACTTTGTACTGCTGGATCCGTCAATGCCCACGGTCCAATCTCAGACATTCCAAACATAGTTACCATCTGCACAAAAAAAAAAACATAAGCGTAATTCTAAGGACCCATTTGACAAAGTTTATGTTTACAGTTTTCTGATTATGTTCACAAAAATTATACCTGTCTTGCTATCTGAGTGATCTGTTGCAAGTCCCCTGCTGCACCGGTAGTGATTTCTGATTCACCAAAAACTACTTCTTCTGCTGCCCGACCTCCCAGACCTCCAACTATTCTAGCAAACAATTGTTGCTTGGAGATCAGAGATGGATCTTCACTGGGCATGAACCATGTGAGCCCACGGGCTTGGCCTCTAGGAATCAAGGTGACTTTTTGTACTAAGTCATGGCCCGGAGTCAATGTTCTGCAGGTAGAGCCGAGTATGCAAAACATATCAGATCACAATGTTGATCTTAAGGGCTGTTTGGCCCAACAATAAAGCTTGCTGTTAGCATAAGGCATTCCCTTGAAACTAGTTGCCCTTTTCTTGTCATTTTCAAGTTCAAAAAATGAAGCAATAGAAAAAACGAAGTGTAAGATGGTGAACTTACGCGCAAATGGCATGCCCAATTTCATGATACGCCACTAAAATCTTGCTCTTCCCGTCTGTCATCTTGGTTCCTTCTATCCCTGCCACTATCCGATCAATTGAGTCATCAATATCTTTTGATGTAATCTTATCTTTGCCTCTCCGACCAGCAAGAATGGCTGCTTCGTTCATAAGGTTCGCTAGATCAGCACCACTGAACCCTGGTGTTCGTAGGGCAATGACACTGAGAGAAACATCCTTGTCTAGCTTCTTGTTCTTGCTATGTACTTCTAATATTTCTTCTCTTCCTCTTACATCAGGTAGTCCAACAGTAACCTGGTTAAGTTTCGACCAAGTTAATCATATCTTTCAAACAATGGATCTTGGAATGAAATCTTTACTAGTATGTCAATATTCAAATTGAACAATTTTCTTAAGGATAAATTACTCTACACCCCTTGAATACTTTTGAAATAACACCGGCATCATCCTTACTCTCTAAAATGTCACTTCTTATCCTTACTTCAGAATTTTTTTTTAACAATTTAGTCCTTCCATACTTCTGTAATAACACAGGCATGTCCTTTACTCTCTAAAGTAGCACTGCCCTTCCTCATTCCAAAATTTTATAATAAAAATTTAGTCCTTTCATTGGTCAGGAGGAAGGAGGAGGAAGAATCGAAGGGCGATGGATTAGACTAAGCAAAAATGAGGAAAGGGTGACAGAGAATAAGGGTATTACAGTAAATTCAACAAATTTACGATTTTAACTACAATTTTCTTAAGGATAAACTACTCTACACCCCTTGAATACTTTTGAAATAACACCGGCATCATCCTTACTCTCTAAAATGTCACTTCTTACCCTTACTTCAGAATTTTTTTTTTAACAATTTAGTCCTTACATACTTCTGTAACATATTTACGGTGTTAACTGAGGAATGTCTGTAATTTACCCCTTTTCTAAAATTGTGCAATTATACAATAGCAATAGCAAGTTAGCAAACTGACCTGTCTGTCAAACCTGCCAGGCCTAAGCAAAGCTTGATCAAGAATTTCAGGCCTGTTAGTAGCAGCAATGACAATGACTCCACTGTTTCCACTAAACCCATCCATCTCTGTCAACAACTGGTTCAGTGTTTGTTCCCTCTCATCATTTCCTCCACCAATGCCGGTCCCTCTCTGCCTCCCAACAGCATCTATCTCATCGATGAAAACCAAGCATGGCGAGTTCATCTGCGCCTTATTGAACAAGTCCCTCACTCTTGAAGCCCCCACCCCTACAAACATCTCTATGAACTCTGATCCAGAGAGTGAAAAGAAAGGGACTCCTGCTTTCCCGGCAATGGCTCTGGCAAGGAGCGTCTTTCCAGTGCCCGGTGGGCCTACTAGTAGTACTCCTTTTGGAATTTTTGCCCCCACTGCAGCAAACTTTCCTGGGGTTTTTAGGAACTCAACAATTTCTTGAAAATCTTGTTTTGCTTCATCAACTCCAGCTACATCCTCAAAGGTTACTCCTGTGTTTGGTTGCATCTGAAATTTAGCTTTGCTCCTGTAGGTAGGTAGATATAGGAGTAGAGTATTGTTATCAAGTCATTGATATGCAGACTTTGAACCTAATTGTTCCTCCTAAGTGGATAACTGATAATTATTAGATGCTGGAAAATAAAATTCATACTATGGTGTTAGTATTAGTTATTTCTAGGAAGTGTTATGAGAGGTCCAAAACTTACTCAGTAACCCTTTTGATATATCAAACAAAATTAACATCCACAAGGACAAATCTTTTTCTAGGAAGTGTTATGAGAGGTCCAAAACTTTACTCAGTAACCCTTTTGATATATCAAACAAAATTAACATCCACAAGGACAAATCTTCAAAATATGTATGTACTCCAAACAAGTTTTTTATTTTGTTTTTTTACAAATAAAAATAAAAACAAAAATATATTTCCGAATGTATGAAAATAAAAAATAGTAACAGCCGTGAGGAGTGTTTAGTTTAGGTAGTGGAACTGGCCTTGAATTTCCAGAGTCATACTTAAAAATATATTATTACTTTGAATAAAAGAATTTAAAATTATAAAAAGAAAGATAATATTTCGTTTCATTTTTTTATATTATATATGACATACAATAAGTATATAATTATATATTTTTTATGTCTCTCCCACAAGTCATATCTCGTATTTTTTAAAAATTATTATGTATGCATGTTTGTGCCTCTTAATTTATGTACATAGAGGGAGTTAATTACCATACCTGCCAAGTCCAAAAGGCAAGTTAGGACCTCCAGGAGTATTTCCAGAGGAAGTCCTCAGCAGCAAAGATCCAAGCAATATCAATGGCAAAGCCAAATTACCCAACAAATCAAGTATTGCAGCTACCATGTTCGCTTCCTTTGGATGAGCTGCAAAGTCCACATTCTTCTCTCTGCGCATCCTCAAAAGCTCTTGTGGCAATCCAGGCAGCTGTACTTTAACTCTCTGGATTTTATTGAGTGCAGGATTGAATACCTCAGCTATGGCTGTTGGCATGAGTTGTAAAGCAAGTGTGCATGTGGTATGAATTGTAAAGCAAGAGTGCATGTGGCATGAATTGTAAAGCAAGAGTGCATGTGGCATGAATTGTAAAGCAAGAGTGCATGTGGCATGAATTGTAAAGCAAGAGTGCATGTGGCATGAATTGTAAAGCAAGAGTGCATGTGGCATGAATTGTAAAGCAAGAGTGCATGTGGCATGAATTGTAAAGCAAGAGTGCATGTGGCATGAATTGTAAAGCAAGAGTGCATGTGGCATGAATTGTAAAGCAAGAGTGCATGTGGCATGAATTGTAAAGCAAGAGTGCATGTGGCATGAATTGTAAAGCAAGAGTGCATGTGGCATGAATTGTAAAGCAAGAGTGCATGTGGCATGAATTGTAAAGCAAGAGTGCATGTGGCATGAATTGTAAAGCAAGAGTGCATGTGGCATGAATTGTAAAGCAAGAGTGCATGTGGCATGAATTGTAAAGCAAGAGTGCATGTGGCATGAATTGTAAAGCAAGAGTGCATGTGGCATGAATTGTAAAGCAAGAGTGCATGTGGCATGAATTGTAAAGCAAGAGTGCATGTGGCATGAATTGTAAAGCAAGAGTGCATGTGGCATGAATTGTAAAGCAAGAGTGCATGTGGCATGAATTGTAAAGCAAGAGTGCATGTGGCATGAATTGTAAAGCAAGAGTGCATGTGGCATGAATTGTAAAGCAAGAGTGCATGTGGCATGAATTGTAAAGCAAGAGTGCATGTGGCATGAATTGTAAAGCAAGAGTGCATGTGGCATGAATTGTAAAGCAAGAGTGCATGTGGCATGAATTGTAAAGCAAGAGTGCATGTGGCATGAATTGTAAAGCAAGAGTGCATGTGGCATGAATTGTAAAGCAAGAGTGCATGTGGCATGAGTTGTAAAGAAAAGGGATTGTCTAGAATAAACTCTGTATGATAGTCTATATATATGGACTTGTATTTCATAGAAAAAATGAATAAGAGCTATACAGTTGTTCCATGTCTCTACATGGTATCAGAGCAGAGATCCTAGGCTTTCTGCTTCACACTTTACACCTTCACGCCGACTATGGCAACTCCATCCACAGACCAAACATCCATTACCAACCCAACCCTAGAAGACCTAACATCCAGAATGACAGATTTACTGTCCCAGACCCTGACTCAGAACCAGGCACCAACCCATGAAATTTCCGCTGCACCGATCGGCATCAAGTTGGATGGCACCAACTATGCTCTGTGGTCCCAAGTTTTGGAGATGTATATCTCCGGCAAGGATAAACTTGGATACATCAATGGAGATCTCCAGCAGCCCCAACAAACTGACCCAACATGGCGAAAATGGCGGACTGAAAATTCGATTGTGAAAGGGTGGTTAATTAACTCCATGGAACCAAGCATGATTGGTAATTTCATTCGATTCCCAACGGCAAAAGCAGTGTGGGATGCCATTGCCACAACTTTTTTTGATGGCACAGACACATCGCAGGTTTATGATCTCAAGAAACGGGTGACCAAGATGCGACAGGGCGGTGGGCAAATTGAAACCTACTACAATGGCCTTCAGGCCTTATGGAGGGAGATCGATTTCCGACGCCCCAATCCGATGGTCTGTCCCAATGATATTCAGAAATTTACTTCCATTCTACAAGAGGATCGAGTGTATACCTTTCTTGATGGCTTAGACGATCGGCTTGACAAGGTTCGTAGCGACGTACTCCTCATGAACCCGTTCCCCTCAGTCGAACAGGCATATGCCTATGTTCGCCGTGAAGATTCACGACAGTCCGTGATGATGGTCAGCACAGATGGACAGGTTGGCGCTGCTATGGCATCTCGAGGAGGAACCCGCTCCAATCCGCAGCCTCTGAAACAGCAGCTATCGATGGTCCCAACTGGGAAATCTGCAGCTGGAACTCGGCCTGCAGCTGGAACTCGGTCCAGTGCAGCGCTGCCCAAATCTGGTTTGTCTTCTTCCAGCCGTAGCTCTGGGCAGCCATCTACTGAAGGTCATGGATGTACTTATTGTGGCAAGCCCAAACACACCCGTGAGACCTGTTTTAAATTACATGGGTTTCCAGAATGGTGGGACGAGTTCAAAGCCCGGAAACAAAGTGAAAGTGAAGCTGCTGTCAACAGTGTTTCGGGACGGGCTGCTTTAGCACATGCGGAGCCCGAGTTGTCTCTTCTAACATCCACAAGTACTTCTCATCTCCTAGATGGCTCTACCCCTTTCAGTGCTTCAGGTAACTGTGGTTACGCTTTATTTAATTCCATTCCGGATGCCTTTAATGGTTGGATACTTGATTCGGGAGCCACCGATCATATGACGTTTGATCCCAATGACTTTACTTCTATTACTCAACCAAAACGGGTAAATATTGCTAATGCCAATGGGGTCACTTATCCGATTACTGGAGCCGGCACTGTCTCTCTCTCTTCCTCACTCTCATTGTCAAACACTTTACTTGTTCCATCCCTATCAAGTAAATTAATATCTGTGGGACAAGCTACTGAAGAATTCAATTGTTGTGCACTAATATATCCCAAGTTTTGTTTTCTTCAGAATATTCTCACCAAGGAGATCATTGGTCGTGGTACTAAGAGGGGGGGGCTATATGTTATGGATGATTTCAGTCCCGGCCAAGCTCATCATGTACAACAAGTGCCCAATGTGAAACGTCAACAGATTTGGCTTTGGCATCGTCGCTTGGGGCATCCATCCTTTAGCTACTTAAAGCATTTGTTACCCGATTTATTTTCTGCCATTAGTGAGTCTGATTTTAAATGTGACACTTGCATTTTGGCCAAGAGTCACCGTGTGCCTTATCCTTTGAGTTTGAATAAAAGTAATGTTCCATTTACTTTGGTACACTCCGATGTTTGGGGACCTTCTCCAGTTTTAACTCCTTCTGGGATTCGTTGGTGTGAATTGGAAGTACCTTAAAGTGTTTTCAGATCATAATTTTCATTGGCGATGATTGTTATCATTAGAATTTTATTGTATAACTATGTTTCTGGCCTCAGATATTCTTATCTATCAATTGCTTTTCAGATTTAGATATGGCAAACTGTTGAGATTTTGTTTTGATTAGCACTAAGATATTCACAACGTATTGGCAAACTGTTCCATATTTGTGAGGTCTTTTATGCATGTGGGCCCAACTAACATAATTTGTCAATAAACCCTTTTTACAGATGCCATGTATCACCACATAATGGTACTACACTCAACATATTCTACACTTCTTCATTCATTTGTGTATGTATGATGCTTTCTCACTTAATAGTCAATATAATTTAAAGAGAGAAAATAATTGAGAAAATTAAATAACTAAATAATTCTGTAATATTTTATACTAAATTATAAAATTCCTAATCAACTATTAATTTCAAAATAATAAAATAAAAATATTTATTTTTTTCTTAAATTTGATCTACATCATTCCCCCTACCCGACCTATGTTATACCCATTAATTATGAGACAAGATTGTAAAAGAAACCAATCTACTCAAACTCAATTTGTATTTGGTTTATTAAAAACTTAAACAGGCCAAACTTGAATACATTTTAAAACTTTTTTAAGCTTTCAAGCCAAACATGAATAACTTACTATTCAACTTGATCCTATTATGAGAGTGTTTGGGAAAAGAGTTGGGTTAAACTAATTTATTAAAAGACAAAATAGTTTAAAATAATAAATAAGAAAAAATGTTATATCAAATTCATAATTATTTCACATTTTTCTCACAACTATCAAATCAACTGGCAAAAAAAAAAAAACCCAACTAATTTTCTAGACATAACTATTTTAGCCAGGCTAAAATAACTGAAAAGTCAAATAACCAACTTCCAAACAAAGGCTTATATATGCATTATAAAAAATCAAGAACCTTACCTCGCTCAATTAAAACTTGTTTGAAATCATTTTAAAAGGTAAACAAGATAAATTTAAACACATTTTTAAACATATGAAATTTTTAAGTCTGTACACAAACGACTACCCTACTAGGCTTACCGTAAAGGGGATTACATGTAGCTGGAGACTAATTGGGACTTAGAGAGAGAACACAAATTGGCAAAATTACTTACCACAGCCTGGCCAGCTCTAGCGCACCACCCATTAGGCTGCTGCTTCGACCTGAAAGCAGCCCACTCAGTCACGCTCGCCTTCCCCAATACGATCGCACCTGCTTTCCTCAGCTTACCCACCACTCCTGCGTCCCGAGCCACCACCGAACCCAGCAGCGCATCCGACCCAGCTGTGGTATTGAGCTTGTCTTTGGTTGCAATGTTGTCCTTCAACAGAATGGGAATACCGTGCAACAAAGACGACTGTGAAATGGGTGACTTGGTGTTTCGCTCTCGATCAGCCTCGTCTGCGAGGAAAAGAGCTTCTGGGTTTACTTCAATGACTGATCTGAGAACTGGGTTGAGTGATTCAATTTGGGTAAGGTAGAACTCGACGAGTTGTCGAGAAGTGAGTTTGTTTTGCTTGAAAGCGATCTGGATTTCATGAACGCTGGCTTCTTTGATTGGAAATTCAGTGCTGCTCATGACGAATCCAAAGAAGACGATGGCCAGGAAAAGTGGATGGGTATAATGTGAATATGAGCGAAGGTTTCCAGGAAAGACTGATCAGTAGACTTTAGAGGTCTCCTATGTCACAATTCATTTGTATATTGGTAATGCAACGTCTACCGACTTTGCTCTCCTCTCAATTGTTTGAAGAAAAATGCTTCCGAGCACTAATTAGTGCTCCCACTAATTAGGTGGCAGTGGATCCCGTCATTAATGATGTGATGTTTTGGTCTTGGAGTTGTATTTTTTTTATTATTTTTTTATTTTTTTAATGTATTAGTGCTATTAGTGGTGATGTTTTTAGTGGGATGAATCATTGTTGTTGTTTGAATTTGTGCATTCGATCCTCCAAAAAATACGGACTTTGTCTACTGTGATAATCACAGTAGACAAAGGTCACGCCGGTCATCCCATCACATCATTTCAGGCGAAATCAGGCCGCCTCTATTTTCGTGGACAACAATGATTTAAGTTATTAAAAAATACACCATTAATAATACTAATGCATTAAAAATAATTATAAAAAAAAAAAAGTATAAAAAGTGAGCGGGATTTACTGTTATATCCTTAGTGTTTCCAAGCATTTTTCTTTTGGTGGACCAAGTATTTTCCTTTTTATCTATAGGCTAAGTATGGTGCAATGGGTTAGGGTTAAAATAATCATAAAAAGATAAAATATATTAAAAAATAAATAAAATAAAATATCAT